CTTACGGTATTTAAGGACTCCACTTTTAAGTTTCGGTACATGTACCAAAGAGCATCCAAACCCGATACTATCAAAATCTGCATCTTTTTCACTAACGTTTGGGTAGATGTCTGAGACGACTTCTCGACAGCTTTGTTTCTATGGTTTTAACCTTGACGGCTTTACTTCCATAGTTTTTCTTGTATACTTTTGAATTTTACGGTTTTCATGATGTAGTTTTCTACTTCATGTTTCTTGTACATGATTTTCTTTCGATGTTTATGGATTTTACGGGCTTTCTTACGGTTTTCTTTTCACCGTCTAAAATTAAATACACAGTTTAACCGATATATATTTTTTTTATCTATTTGATAAAAGCAGCATTAAAGGTCATTAAAATTAGTTTAATTGTTACGTTAACTATATATAGAGACACATGCAGTGTCCCTCGTATAATATGTTTTATTGCAATTATTAAAGAAAATTCATCTATTTATTGATCCACACATGCTATGGAAACGAATCGTTTCTACACGATTAGTTAATACAAGCTGATAAAATCGATATATTCGAATAAAACTCCGTTGTTAACTGATGTTAGATAAAAATTTAAAAATAATAAACGCTCGTTTTGCCTGTTGGTCGATTTTAAAGTTATGATAATATGAACGATAATCGTTTCTCATTTACTGCAGTTGCTACATAATTTGAAAAGATAAACTAGTTGAAACAAATCAAAGATTATTGATTGAGGCGATGGTATTTTTGATTTGGTAAACTGAAGTTTATTTATCAAAAAAAGTTTACAAAAACTTCATTTTCTCATCAGTAATACGAGACATTATTAATCAGAAATCATTAAGTGATGGTCAATTCATTCATCTCTAAACCTGAAACAGATGAAATCCAAAAATAAAATTATTTTCTCCTTTTCTTCTAGATACTAATTTTTTTCGTTTTCAGATGTCAAATAATATTTTTGATGGTATAGAGGATAATAAAACATATGACTTAGAATTGGGTGATACATGGCATACGGACAAGAGTTATCATTATCATACAATTAAATGTAAACTAGACATTTGAATTAATATTTACTAGACATTATTTTTTTATTTTTGTTCTTGTTAGATGATTTTAAACCAGCATCCGTTGTTAGAAGTGAACAAGCTGAATTAAGTGTGGGAAATGCACAAGATGTATCAATTACTATCCCGAATATTGAGGTTTGTATTTTAAAATTATAAAAAATGTTTAATATTATTCTGTTTCGTAAAAATTTTAGGGTTCAACAACACAAGGTAGTCATTTTTCTGGGAATACAAAATCTTATACGACAAAAGAATGTCTCATGATTATTGATCCAAAAACGGGAAAAGTTACATTAGAAAAATTATCAGCGAATGTTAGAGTTAAAAATGTCAGGTACGCATAAATACAGAGAGAGAGAGAGAGATCTCGCAATAAGCAAGTATGGTATTTTCCTCTCTAATTTTAAACAAAGGAAACGTTGATTAGAGAAAAAATTATCTATCGCGGGACTATTAACAACATTCTTTTTCTTTTGATCTTTGACTGTCGCGTCAAATTAAACACCTTACTGAGATAGAATATTTACTTTACGAGCAAAATGACACAGGCTGAGATGCTTTATTTTTTAGAATGGAGAATAATCGTTCGACGATAAAACCGTCTAAAATAGTAGCCAGTAACAATACAACAGCAAGTACATCTACAGTAAAAAATGAGAATTCAATAAATAATAAACAAACGCAACCATCTTCTTTGAATACAATAACGGATTCTTCTACAAAAAAACAAATTACTACTGGTACTACGAATGATGAATTAAAAAAAGTTGAAAAAACTACAACACCTAAACAATTTACTCCTTCAACATCATCGTTGAATACTACGAAAACAGCTACACCCGTCCCATCACAACAACAACAACAGTCAAATAGAAAATCCATGCCTCCTGCGGCAAATAAATCAGCACCCATCAAACCAATGCCAAATAATAGTAGTAGTAATAATAATAATAATAATAATGCTCAACATCGATCATCGAGTGACAGATTAAGTGAATGTAAGTTGAACGAGTTGTTTGCTTAATAGTATCCTGATCTATTTTTGTCGAACTCGTGCAGCCGATTCATGAAGCGATGCAGAGTAAGAGATAACAATGAGGTTCAAAATAAGGCTATTGGCACTGTGCCAATGGTACAGTATACCAGTCTTAAGCTACAGTAATCGTGTAAAACGAACATAGACACTGTCATTTGACGAGAACGATTTTAAAATTTGAATTGTTTTTTAAAATGCATTTCAAATTTGAAAACAACGAAAAAGATAGTACAACACTGAACGATAATAGCGTCCATATTGCGAACAAAAACATTAATTGTTCGTCTGTTGATACACTTTAGAAGTTGTGGGAAAATGTTTTTAACTCTTTCATACGATGTCGCATATTAGTTTTGCTACATCTTTTATTGAAGAAAAATGTTAGTTCTACAAATCTAGATATATGAAAGAAAAGTCAAACCAATATGTAACGAGAAATTGTCTTTCAACGACAATAATTTTTGAAGCTTTCGAGAAGTCGTCTCAGACATCTACCCAAACGTTAGTGAAAAAGATGCAGATTTTGATAGTATCGGGTTTGGATGCTCTTTGGTACATGTACCGAAACTTAAAAGTGGAGTCCTTAAATACCGTAAG